AGTCACCACTTAACTGTAACATCAATATCACTAAGAAATTAAATAACTTATTTCTAAATATCAAATGTCTCATGCTTATTAAAATTTCCCTATCCAAGTCTTAATGTAGTAAAAAGAATAGCAATATTGTGTACCTTGAAATGGTTCTCACATAAACTTCTAATCTGTTTACCATGGTAATTTTTCATCGATAGAAGATAATGCCATGTCTCTCTAAATCTTTGCTACCTTGCCAGATTTGAACTTCAATACACTATTAGAGTCCTGGCAATCACAGAACCCTCAAAAGGCTGTGATAGTGGCTGGGCAAATTCCCAGTTTGCAGTTACAGTGTCTGAAGTGTTATGGCAGAGAACTGAGAGTCCACTTACAGACAAGGAGGATAATTTAGATCTGGGCAGATCTGGAAACCACTCAGGTGGTGACACTGAAGTTGACCCCTCAGGACAGTGGAGAGATTGATCAGGCACGGGAGAGGACACTGCAGAGGCAGAGGACACTGCAAGTTCCAGAGCCCTGAATCAGAAGAAAGCTTCACTGAGCTCCAGAAAAAGGGGTGTGGGGGGTGGGAAGGGGCTGGGGCTGGTGAGGAGCAGGGAGCATACCCCCAGCAGCCTCCTCATGAGGCAGTGTCAAGAGTCCAGCTCAAAGCCTGTGTGCAAATGGGAAGACTGGGGGGTTTTCTGCCAGAGGGGTATGATCTATTTTCTAATGTGTATGTATTTATTAGGCGTAAGTTTTAAAAATATGAACATTTATTTAGAAACCTGTAAGCAGCTCACAGGCATCAGCAAATAGTATGTGATTTCCAGTCATGTATCACACTTGATCTGGTTGATTTTTACAAAGATCATGCCAGTTGCTTGAGGAAAGGATGGGGCCAGATGTGGAGCAGAGACTGCTGGAGCCCACGTGAATAACTCAGCTGAGTGATGACCTCGCATCAGGTAGGCATGGTTAGGACAAGGTATGGATACTCATGATGGCAAGCGCAGCTACCCGTGGGCTCTGCAGCTGGCCTTGAACATGAAAGAGAAAAGAGAGGCAGAAAGGAGTCGGGACAAGTGCCAGCTTGATGGACCTGGTGACCGCTGGTGCCGCACATTCAGAGGCTGAGCGTGGATACTGGGACCGGCTTCAGAGCGCCAGGTACTTGGTGACGTCTTCCAGGCCTGTTCCTCGTACCAGGTCAGATGCTGGTTCCCCATTCACTAGGATGTCTGCAGCTGCTTGTAAGCAAAACGAGAGCAATCCTAACCCACCAGTAGAAGGAAATGAGCCTAGGTTTTTACTAATTTGTGTTGAACCTTGTTTGTATTTTGCCCAGTTTGCTAGATCCAGGAATGTGCTCTGTAGTCAGGAAAAAAAGCACAGGGATCAAATGAGGCCTGGCTATCTACATGAGTACAGGGACCCCAGGATCAGCAGCAGCTGGACACAGGGGAGGAGCCAGTCCAGGAGCTCCCGTCTAAGACAGCTCTACACCAGCCAACGGGGTTCAGTGGAAGCTTGAGTTTCTCCACTCCAGGCTGGCTAGTCCTGGTGGTCAGTGTGTCACTATCAGAAGGACTCATCTTTTGAGACCAGGTGGAAGTCTGTAAGTGGACTCTCAGTTCTCTGCCATAACACTTCAGACACTATAACTGCAAACTGGGAATTTGCCCAGCCACTATCACAGCCTTTTGAGGGTTCTGTGATTGCCAGGACTCTAGTAGTGACCAAGTTTGCAAACAGAATGTCTACCCAAGTAACAAGACAGAAATTTACTGTGCAGGATAGCAGGGGACCAGAGCCATAAAAGTCCTCTGCACACAGCAATTAGTAGGTGTGGAAACTTACATGCCACCTACAAAACTTCAGTCAGTAAGAGAAGGGTTTTGAATACATTGGGTCTATTCTGATATCACTAGACGTGGCATAAAAATTTCATTGATTTTTTTGGGGAGAGTTTTTTTTTTTTTTTTTTTTTTACAGGGCCTTGCTGTGTAGTTCAAACTGTCCTTAAACTCACTATGGAGTCCAGGCTGGCCACAAACTATGGCAACCCCCTCGACTCTGTCTCCCAAGTGCTGGGACTATGGGCATGTGCTACCACACCCAGCTTCATTAATGGATTTTTGAAATGCATTTTGTTTTGTCTCGTCACATAGACCTTTTTCTTTTTTGACACAACTCCTGTGACAAGTGGCTGTAATTCTGCAGTAATGCCAGCTGTTTCTCCACCACTCTAGCATATCAGTAACACCAGCCAGTCTTAGAGCGGGCTCTATCACACCTAAAACTTACTCTTGGCCAAACTCTTAAATCCCCCAGATGAATTACAGACTTAAGTAAAAGCTGTTAGTACTTAGTGGCATCAAAATTTTCCATTACAAATATTGTTTTTATTCTTCTTTAATTTGAAAAAAAGTGCCTTGAGGAGTCTTTGAATTTCTAAGCCTTGTAGATCAAAGATTTCTTCAGCTGTCTGAATTACAAGAATGTTGAAAAACAAAAACAAATCCTTTTCCTGCTATAAAATCCTTGCCATGTTTTTGTCTTTATGTAACTCAAAACGGCTGAACTGAGAAAAAAGATCTGTGAGTTTTGTTCAAAATCTAAAAATTCATCCAAAATGAAGTAATCAATAATTCAAAAAATGTCACTCTATTTTGACCCCAAGAATAAATTTTATTGAATTCTCAATTGATGATTCAGAAGATCACTAAATAGCACTTGTAAGAGAATAAAATTGATTATGGCTAAGGATGCCAAAATGTTTTATTAAAATGATTCAAGACGAAATTGTAATAATGTGGGCTTGGTGATGGTATCTGATATAATCTTTCCTGATTCCATACAAGCCCAAAGCTGCATGCATGTTTTTTGTAACATGATCTGCAAAATAATAAGCTGTTCATTTTTAGAGCATTTGCAGAAAAAAAAATTGACTACAAAAAGCAACAGTTCCCACTTTGATAGTCATCAGTTTCCTAATGTTTCAGTATAAGGCTCGACATTCAGTGTATAAGAAATAAGACCTTTAGCAGGTCATCTGGCATCATAGACATAATTGACTACCTGCACGCCAGAATTTTCATACTTCTGAACTGAATTACTTTTGTTGTCTCTGGAGAGATGGCTGATGGACGTAGGATACATGACCTTGTGGAGGGCGGCACACAACACCCTATGTCCTTTTTAACGTGGGAGACTGAAGGTACTTGTTATGGTTAGGGTTAGGATTAGGGTACCCTGTACATACTGTCGGTCATGCTGTACACAGAACTTCTACTTATTTAAAACGGACCTTTTCTCGTGTTACTCTACTGCGACGTTGCCTTATAATCTTTGTGGGATTCAGGTTGCTCTGTATTTGCTATCATAATTCTATACTTCACATCCTTATGCATAAAACATTTTCAGTATTGCTGTATTAGACAAAAGGCTTCAGGTTGCAAGTCAAAGGAAATCAATCTGCTCTGGCTTAAGCTGTAAAGAAGATGCATCAGCTTGTGTGGTGAAAAGCAAGGAGTGGACAGACTGCAGATGCCACTGGACACCAGGCTAGTGCTGTCCTCAGGAATCCGTGCTGTTCTCTGGTCCAGCTTCTTCCTCTGGTGGTTTCCCTCTTAACCCATCTCCTTTACATCCTCTCACAGAAAGATAGCAGGTCTTTCCCAGAAATTCCCACCTAAGTCCAGGATTGAGGCTCACTAGCATGACTGAGGTCAAAAACCCAGGCCTGAGCCTGTTCCTGTGGCGAGGACGGGGTGAGGCCCAGGGACAGGCCTCCTGCCTCCAGCCCCGCCACTCTGCACACCCACCTGCCGGCTGCACTCGGGCGCTGCCCGAGTCCTCTCTGCCTTTCTCCTTTGCAGAGTCCCAGGCTCCCTGACCCCTCCCTCAGGCCCTGCTCGGAAGCTGGCCCTTGCTGTCCGTGCCGCTGTCCGCGCCCCTGCCCTGCTGGCAGCACTGACCACCGTGCACGCTTCGGGGCGGTCTGCTTTCCTGGCAGAGGAGCGCTGCCGCTGTTTGCAGCTCTGTCCTTCCCTCAGTAAATAAAGACCAAGCGAGCTCACGAAAGACTTCACCAGACCAAGTCTTCCTAAGGTGGGGCCAGCACACCCTGCGACAAGAGGTGACTGAAGGAACCTTCCTGTGATTCTCCTGTGGCTGGCCTGTCACTGTCCAGCAACCCTGGCGCGGGGCAGAGGGCAAGCGCGGGTTTGCTGTCCACTGCTGCTTCTGTGCCAGCCCGGCAGGCTTTGCGTCCACCCTGAAGTCCTGCTCTGCCTCGGACCCGGACCCCGGACCCTCTTCCGCGGCCTGGGAACTCACTCTCCTGGCCCTTTTCGTTCTCATCAGGCCTGAGCTGCTCCACCGCCTCGGCATGCTGAGTTCCTGGGTTCACCCGTTTCTTTCTTCCCCGCTAGCAGGTCAGCTTCCCCTGGCCCCTTTCTGCCTGCCCGCTGTTATATCCCCAACACCCAAACTAGGACTTGCTGCAGCAAACATCTTCCATACATTTTTATGGAAAACAAAAACAAAAACACTTTCTTCTGCAAGAGAAGAGGATGGTGGTGATTTACACCCTCCCCAGTGGCAGCAGTGCCCCTCCCCTCCTCTCCGCCTAAGGGATCCCCAGAGCACAGCTGCAAGAGGGGCCCTCAGCTGTGTGTGTGGGGTAGGGGTGAGGGAGGAGAGCGGGGCCCAGACTGTGCTTCCTGTCTGCTTCAGTGCAGCCCGAACCCTAACCCCACCATGCCTAAGACTCCTCTCCACCGCTGCGGGGCTCAGGGCGGCTTCCTAAATCTGCTACATTAAGTAAAACTTAAGCACTGAGGTATGCACTTGGGATGGGGCTGGGGATTTTTTTGTGCTTTCCTATCCCAAATTGTCCAGTTGTTGATATTTTGGTTTCTAGAACTATCTCTAATGTGTCTGTTATCATTACAGTATGTTTAATTTTGTATATTTTTAAATAACTTTAAATTTTAAAAATGTCTTACAAAAAGAGCTCAGCCACATAAAAATATTTAATATAGAGAACATCAAAGCACCTTTTGTCAGGAAAAGTATCTATGACATATATCCAATTAAATAAATCCAATCTCTCTTTACTTGAAAAGAACTGTTTGAATACAAAACAATAAACTTCAGGCCCTAATCTTTAAAAACAACAAACTTTAGCTTCATTCAATGTGGAATAAACCTATTAAACAAAGAAATGACTGTTCTTAAAAAGTAAATAGTCACCACAAAATTTTCAAATTTAAAAATAGCACCAATAGTAGAAGGGGTTTGTCTTTTTTTCAGTTTAAAGTCCCTAAACAAGTGATTTACCAAAATTCATGCAAAGTAAATATCGAGTGATTGATTTTTAAATCCCTTGTCAACTAGAGTGGGAAATTAAAAGAAAGTTAAAAAATAAGAAAAAAAAGAAGGAAGAAGAAAAACAGTAATTGAAGAATTAAAAGGCACAGTCCTGTCTATACACAGAGACAAACCCTGCCGAGTATCTGGTTTGCTGTCATTGTGTCACCAGTCAGCGACCTCAACCACAAAGGGTGTTTTTACATCTATCTTGCCACTGTTGTGGATGGAGCAGTTGGTGAGCGGCCGGTCATGCCCATCAGTTGCTTGGAGCTCTATGGAGTGCACCACTGTCTGGTGAGAGAAAACAGAGGTGTCCTCAGTTCCGAGTAGAGCTATAGCAGTTGAAACAGGCATCAGACCACCCCAAAAGCCCCACAGCGAAATACATTTTATCATTACAAAAGCCACACAAGTGTGCAGAATTCAGAATCTTTACATAGACAGTTAACAGAACAAGATTCGCCCACTATCTTATTTCTCATAGGATACATTATTTTCTTTTAAAATAAATATGACAGTCTAAAACAATTAGGTATTTTGTGAGCACCTATCTATAATAGAAAGCATTTTTAACATTGTTGGATTGGGGGGTGGGGTAATAACCTGGGATAGAACTCAGAACTTCATGCTTGCCAGGCAGCCACTTATGCTGCTGAGCTAAATACCCAGCCCTAGAAAGCATTTTTAATCAACTGCTACAGCCCAGCATAAGATTAACATGGAGTCAAGAGTCAGTTTTAACTCCCTACACCAGGTCTACATCTAATAAAATGAGCAAGAAAGCAGATTCAAAAGTTGACCTCATTCCAAGTTGGTCTGTTTCAAAGGTTTTCCAAGCCATGAATCTGTAGGTGAATCCTATACCCCACGCCACAAAGGCAGAAGGGCCCCTTTGCCGCAGGGATGGCTTACAGAGCCACTGTGCTGCTTGGGTTTGGCATGGAGGAGGACATCGCAGACTGAGGAAAAGGCCTCTGAACGGGCGGCCCAAACAGTGAGCGTCCAGGTCAGTTCCTGGGTTTTGGCTGGGCAGAGCCAAGCAGCAGGTACAAGATGCAGAAGCACTGCCAGGAGTAAGACTGGCCCATCCATGTCTGGCTAGGAGTCAACACCTCCCCCGAACACGCAGCAACTGAAATGTGAAAGAGGGGAACCAGGGAAGGACAGCCCAGGGTGACCAGGGGCTAGGCTGGGCAGACTTCCTAGTGGCCAGTTCCAGAGCAGAGTGGCTCTGAGCAGCTGGAAGAAATACTGAGACACAGAGACAGACAGACAGAGAGGGAGATGAGGTGTCTTAGATGTTCTCCTATGGGTTATGAATTAGACTCCTTGCTCTTCTTTAAGGAATAATAGCAGACAGCGGCATAAGCGCCTGCCTTGCAAGCAGGCAGTCGTGAGTTCGATCCCTGGTACCGATAAAAACGAAAAAGACAAAAAAAAAAAAAAAAAGGAATAATAGCAGAGACTTAGTCTCCGAGTCAGTGCTGGCTGCTCGACTTCGTGTTTTTGACTGTGACTTGGCATCTGGACTGCACCACACAGGCTCAGGGTGTGCTATTTTAATTGTGGTAAGAAACATGTGACATAAAATTTGCCATCTTATCTACTTTAAGCACACAGCTCTCTGGTGTTAAGTATATTTACACTATTGCACAATAAATCTGCACGATTTTTTTATCTTGAAAAACTGAAACTCCATATCCATTAAACACCTCCTCTCCACCAGCCCCTGACAAACACTGCTCTGCTTTTCTCTCTTTATAAATTTGACTACTTTAGATACTTCAAATAAGTGGGGCATTTGTCTTCTTGTAACTGTCTTATTTCATTTAGGATAAGATCCTCAAGGCTTCTCTGTTTCAACACATGTCAGAGGGTCTTTTCTTGTAATATTCAACAATGTTCCTGGCATGTACATATGAGGCCCTGATTTTACTCGATTATGTTAGATAGGGCTATTTATAGCCACTGGTAAAATAGAGCACTTCTCATGTTAAGTCCCTGGCTTCTGCTCTAATGCCCCTAACAAGTAAAATGCCACGTTGCATGTCATTTACTCATTTTTGAAGAGGCCAGATATAATAATAGATCTCTAACAACCCACTTTAAAATTTAAACAAATCAACTGACAGTACTGTCACAAACATAAAACTTTAAAAAAGAAAATATATCCAGTTACCATCCCATCAAGGACTTTTCCGAACACCACATGCTTGCCATCCAGCCAGGTGGGCTTGGTCAGGGTGATAAAGAACTGGGAGCCATTGGTGTCCGGCCCCGCATTGGCCATGCTGACCCACCCGATGCCGTAGTGCTTCAGCCTGAAGTTCTCGTCCGGGAACGTCTCGCCGTAAATGCTCACACCTGAGTGAGAAAACAGTGACGCCCATAAACAGGTGCCTGATGAAAGTCCCTCTATAAGGGAGGAGCGCGGCTTCAGGAATCAGTCACCAGAGCTCTATTGGAGGCGGGAAGGTGGCGAAGATGGTCAAACACGAGGACAGGACAACATTAACTTCTTAAGGGAAGCAGAGAACCTGGGCTGAAACGAAATGTTCTCACACAGCACCAGAGGGCGGACACCTTCTGGCCGCAAACTTCTCAATGGGAGAAGTCAGTGATTTCACCTCTGAAAGGGGGACAGCGCAGGATGGTGCTCCGAAGCCAGAGGGAAAGGTGCTGAGCCACGCTCCTGGTTCTACCTGTGCCTGTGTTCAGGCTCCTGTCCTGGGTCAGTCCTGCATCAGCACCACACCAGGCTGCACCAAGCGCTGAGTGCACACCCTCAGCCCCTCCGTACCACAACCGCCCTGCAGAAGCGGCCTTCTCCACACTGTCTTATTCTGGGAAACAAAGTTACAGAACTTAAATCTGGAACCCCTGATTTTCCAGCGCTACGGCTGGTGTCCCTTCTCTCAGCACCAGAGCAGTAGCGGCCGATCGAGAAGCCATTAAGCACGGTAACTCCCCAGCCCAGCACACAGAAGGTGACCGAAACGGGGAGCTCGCGGGGATTAATTTGTACTGAACGACAGGACGCACGTGGTGTGGAGTCATAGCAAAGCAGCAGGGACAGCAGGGACCCATTCTCCGGAAGGATTGTAGACTGTAACACTCCGTCTCAAACACCTGCAGGGCCTGTCCTGCCCATCACCCCTTCGGCCAGGTTTCTTGTCCCTCTGCTGGTTGCTAGCTTCAGAATTCTGGCTCAGTTACAAGGCCCAGAAGAGGCCATAAGAGTCAAGCAACTCAGAAGTGATTGGTCCAGGATGTATCAGGTAGCCTAGTGGGAAAATTCTCTTTCTGCAAAACTCAAGAGAATTTTAGAGCAAGGCTCACACAAAAACTGGGTAGCAAAGGTAGATAGAATAAAAAGCAGCACCAAGTACAGCTCAGGTGCTGTTCTAAGTCAGACCACGTGGCAGGAATGGCGATGCTAGGGCAGCAGGATTTTCCCGAGAGCTGCAGCAGCAGCCAGGCTCCCTCCGAGGGAGATTCTGCCCACAATCTAGAAACACGGGAACCATTTCTCTGCTCCTCTCTATATCATGGAGCAAGAGCTACACATAATCTTCCCAGAATGCCTGGCAAACTAAAGAGCTAAACAGCAGCTGTTTTTGCTACAAATAAATAAACCATGCAATGAACAGAAAAGGAGCAATGATGCCTGCAAATGGCCTGTTTGTATAAGAAGTTAGCAATTCACATCCACCAAAGCCAGTGTTTCCTGCATTTGAACCCTAAACGTGAGTTAAATGTAAAGTCCACGTAGTTACATACACGCTCTGTCTGGGCAAAGAATTCTCACTGCACTTTAGCAAGAAAGTAGTCCATGGAACTGGGTGGCTAGAACCCTCAAGGAGAAACAATAAACTGAAGGCTATTTGAAACTCCAGAAATTTAAAAGTGTTTGTCCTTTACTGAACTTTTACTTTGTTTTAAAAACTCAGTATATTAACTATGACTGAAATTTTTATCACTAGAAAAGGTGACAGTGCCAGGTGTGGTGGCACCTGCCTGTAATCCCAGCCACTGTGGAGGCAGAGGCAGGGGCTTACAATTTTGCAGTCAGTCAGAGCAACTCATTGAGACTCTGTCTCAAAAAAAAATTTTTAGAAAGGCCTGGTCATGTAACTTAGTGGTACAGTGTTTGCCTACCATGTGTGAGATCCTAAGTTCAATGTCTAATATCAAAAAAAAAAAAAAAAAAAAAAACCAAAGCAACTAGCAAGCAAGAAACTGGGCCAGGGATTCAGCTTAGTGGCATAAGCACCTGCCTGGCAATCTCGAGGCCGTGAGTTCATCACTAGTGCCAAAAAAAAAAAAAAAAAAAGAAAGAAACTGACAAAAGGAAAGCCTTCTGGAAGGAGGGGTGACATTCACAGTCATCCTGCCACTTAAATGCCAGCTTGTCCTGCTGGCACCGGGCCCCAGCCCTCCTCCACACCCACATGTGCTGCTAGTGACCAGCCCAGGGCGCCTCAGCCCTTTACCTTGTCTATCTGGTAGCAGACACTGTGCTATACTGCCAGCTACTCACAGTCTAGCATTTTAAATAAATGCATAATAGCTCCACTGCAGGCTGGCCATGAATGCCAAACCAATCCCGTTTAATTTAGGAAGTCTTCCCTCATTCTACCCACCAAGATTAGGCGAGGTGCTCAAAACTCTACGCTTCTTAAAGAGTCATCTTTATAGGTTTTTCCTTAAATCTGGAATTTCAATATTCTGGAGTAATACATTGGTGTCATCTCAGGTTTCAGCTTAGTGAGGGAGGAGAAAGGCAAAAGGACATGTTACCGCCAGTGCCGTCTCCCGCGGTGAAGTCCCCTCCTTGGATCATGAAGTCCTTGATGACACGGTGAAAGCTGCTTCCCTTGTATCCATAGCCTTTCTGAGAAGATAATTTTGAGTGAATATACAAGTAGAAATTACTCATACCCAAAGATAAACCCCCGCGTTTATCTGAAAATGGGAAAATTAAAAGTGTCTCCAGAACTTGACGAGGTCCCTGTATGATTTACCCCGACGTGACCAAAACAATTAACTATGGAAGTAGAATATAGGTTTAAATAACGAGAGACTAATCTGCATTTTCACTTGTTTCTTCCCCCATCTCTAAAAGTATAAAGGCACCAAGTACCCAAATAAGATTTTATAGGAAAATACAAGATGCCGCAGGTTCACTGACATAATAATTTCACACTTTTTTTCGAGAAGACATGTTTATACTTGACTCTTACAAAGGATACAGGCTTTTGCACCGTTAATGGAAACAGAACTCAAACCTCTCCTGTTGCTAGAGCGATGAAATTTTCCACAGTCTTGGGTACAACTTTTCCAAAGAGGCCAATCACAATTCTGCCCACGTCTTTGTCTCCAATCTTCACATCAAAGAAGACCTATTGGTAGTTGAAACAGAGTAAAAGGTTATAACTTGCAAAGGACAAAAACACAATACAGGTCAAAATTAATGTCTGAAAGACTGCCCTCAGCAAGCAGGGTACAGTTGAAATAACCTTGTAGGTGTGGTTCACTCACAAATAAGCATTTAGCAGACATTTACTGAATGCCACCTAGGAGCTAGGTGCTGTTCTAGGGCCTGAGCTTAGACATCGATTCTGTATCTGGAAGGTCAGCAGAATCCTACTCCCCTTCAGCCCCTGGCCAAGCACTGCACTGCCTCTTGCTCCCTGGCTTTACGGACGAAGCCTAGAGTGGCAGATGTTCTTTTAAAAGGTACTGCTTTCTAGTCTTGGCAGGAGAAAACAAAATGGTGGGGAGAGAGCCAATCATCTAGATTTAGTTTCTGCCATTTCAAACACTGCCACCCTCCCAGAGCCCTAGACAGACATCTGTTGCCAAGGGGCCATCGAAGACAAGAAAAACACAGCACGCACGCGCACACACACACACACACACACACACACACACGCCCAAAAGCCACCCCACAAAGCAGCGGCCCCAGCCCAGCCCAGCCCAGCCAACAGGCAGCAAACCCTGCTCAGGGCCTGACTGAGCTGCTCGCTCTGCGCTCAGACCTGGCATCTGCAGGCCATTCCCAAAGTCACACAAACCAAGTTTGTGCTTTCTGTCACATCTGAGAACCAAAGAAAGAAAACATCCAAAAATAAGTGTGTCTCAACTGTTTTGCAGACTAAAGCTCAGAAGTTCCCTTGGACTTTAAAAAAAAAAAGGTTCCATCTGAAATGAACTTAAACGCGTTTTGCTTCACAAATCACTGCAAAGATGATTCTGAGGCTTGAAAAGGCCACCGAGTCGAAGGGCATCCTATCAGCGAGTTTAGATTATATGAACCAATTTACTGTTTGAATGGGTAAAAAAGACATTCGAGAGATGGCTTTAAAAAATATAAGAAGGGTTGTCAAAGAAAAAAGATGTCTTGCAGTTTAGAAAAATCACTAAGTAAAGACTGTCAAGCTTCAGTCCAGACAAAGGCTTCTGCCAATATGTCAGTATGCCTGTCATGGGTGATGTGATATTTAGTGTTCTGGGTGGCATTTCACAATTTTCACACGACCAAGGCTGCAAAAGTTTTATTATTATTTACACAGAAGAGCTTTACAGAGTGTGTGAATAACATCCCTGCTCTCAGGGGGAGCTGCAGGAGAGACGTGCAGCGCAGAAAGGCACAGGACGCCTCAGCACATGGGCCAGGGCGCGCCCAGCTGGGAGCGGAAGGGCGGGCAGCGGGGAGGATGGGGTGGAATCCTCAACACCCTGCAGGACACTCGGAAAAGTTTCCCAGTTATGTCTATGAATATTTTTTTTGGTACCTACCGGGGATCAAACTCATGACCTTGTGCGTGCCAGCAGGCACTTACACCACTGAGCTAAATCCTGGCATGTCTATGAATATTTAGAAAAAAATAAAACACAGGAAAGAGCAGCATGGGGGGGGGGGAAATGCCTGTCACTCTGCATAATGACACGTATCATAGCACACGTGGCAATATGCCCTCCCCAAAGCAGAGTGCCTCCTTGAGGACAGCAGAGAGCATAGGGAGACAGCAGAGCTGGCTCAGTGCTCAGTGGGAATGACACAACCAAACCTTGTTTAGTCAGAGATACTTATTCCAGATCTCTCGGAAAGGCAATGCGACGGCACGAGCTGCACAGAGCACCCTGTTCCAGGATGCCTGACATGCGGAGACAGGGAGGCAAAGGACAGAGAACTCTGGGTGGCAGGCAGGAGATTGCCTGGAAGGGGCAGTCTCCAAGGTCGGGGTGGCACAGACCCCACAGGGCAGGCTTCCCAGAACCCAAGTATGGGCAGGAATGGGGCGGTGGGGGCTGCCCAGCAGCTCCAGGAAACGGAGAAGAGATGCTGGCTCCAAGGTGCATGGTCTATAACACAAGAGGAAGAGTCCAAACAGCACTGAAGATGACAAAGAGGATCTCACACCACGGGTGGTACTGGGGGGCTGGGAGGATGCGCAGAGGGCAGAGGCATTAAGGGGGAAAAGTGGGCAGGGAGGAAGCAGAAAGGAAAGAGAAGCTGCTCATGGGGTGTCCATGAGCTTCCCTGCCTCACCTTACATACTCATCCACCCCCAGTTTCCGGGTGGGGGAGGGGCCAGCCATGCGGATTTATCAGTGAGAAAAGCAGAGGTGAGAGGGGCCACCTGTTTACCAAGGTGTGCCATCAACACAGGAATCAAAATTTCAGCGCAGGGCTACCTGTCGTGTAAACTGTGGCTCTCCTGGTTCAGACAGGGAACCCCAAAAGGAAAGCAGCAGTGTCTTCTGTTCCCCACATTCCAGCACCAGGTCAGCATGAAAACAGGGGCAAAATGTTAAATGGTTCAAACTCAAGTGATACTGAGGGGCAAGGCACACCCTCTACGGCAGGCGGGGCTGCATGCTAAACCTGACCCCAGACTCATCTTGAGCCCACTGAGACCCCTGGGAATGAGGCCCAGCACTGGATAGGGTGGGCCACAGAGCTCCCACCCTCATGAAGCCCACGGGAGACGGAAAGCACGCAGTTAGCTTTCCAAACTTGATAAAGGTGGTGAGAAAAACAAAACGAGGTATATCAAGTGGCCGTGGGAGAATGGAGCCCAGAAAGTTCCTTCACAGACTGGGCCCTGGCTCCAAGCTCAGGTGGAGCCAGCTCTTCCCTCCCATGGCCCTGCTCCTGCAGCTCTGGCTGGTCTTCTCTGGGGGGCTCTCCTAGTGGTTCCGGGCCCAGACTCCAAACACTAGGTGTTGATAAAGCTGAGTGATGGCCTGGCCACCCCCAGTGATGGTGACTGACTCACTGGCAGGGTGAGTTTCACATCGGTATGTTTTAAAACACTTCCCAGGTGAAATTTGTCCCCAGATATAACAGGGGATGTGCTCTCAAGACTATCGATTATTAATCTAAATTCACACCTTCTGTGATCAGCTGTCTGCCCTCTCTCTGACTCCATCTAAACAGTCAGCAATTCCTGGTAGATCTCCAAATCCATGTCAAGTTCATTCTTTCCTCATGGTCCAAAACTACCACCCTCTCCCAATCTCCCTCTGGATGAAGCCCTCAATGGCCCCTCAGCGCAGTCCCAGCACAATTCCTCAAAATCGCTGTAGACCATGTTTCTCTCAAGCCGCTTCGGCGGCTGGCTGCACTCAGAATAAGATCTCAAGTTATAATTACAACCACCTCCACACCCAACCCAACCACAGCCTCTGCCACCCCGCTGCCGCCCCCCCCATCCCCGCACCTCATGCCACGCCTCAGCGACACCCACCTGTCCCCACTCTGGCTCTCCTGCCGGGAGGCCCTGCAGGAGCTGCTCCCTCTGCCAAGGAAGCTTCTGCCAAGCTGGGTCTCCCTCCTACATCAGGTGCTCCAAAAGGCACCACCTGTATTCCGATCATTTCCTTCAGTATCTCAGGGCTGGGTCACTTTTGCGAGCACAGTATCTGCAGACTGAAAGAACTCCGTCCAGCTCTGTGGCCTCGCACAAACCGATTCCCAAAGCTAGAACCGCCCGAAGATCCCGGGGATACTAAGCAGAACCCTGGCTTCTGAGGACAGTCTGACGTTGTCCACTTCGCCCGTGGCGTGGCACAGTAGCTCTTCTGTCCTCCCCTTGGCTGAGTCTGATGTTGCCAGGGCCCCCTCTCAGGGCGCCGCGGTCCCCCGTGCCTCGGTGGGTCTGCAACAGAACCTGAGCCCGTCCAGGTCAGGCAGACTCCGACCGCCCTAAGACAGGGCGCCTTCCCCCAGATTCTGGATGCCGGCCAGGGACGCCGGTAGGACCAGGCACAACACTGTGCCCTCTGGCGCTCCAGGATCTCCTAACCCCGGGTGAAATCAGCTCCAAAGGGAACCTAGGCGGCCCAGTCCCAAGTGGCCAGGAACCGGACGCAGCTCGGGCGGGTCCCAAGCTGCACCCAACAGCGCTTTCCACAGGCGCCGCCCTGGCCGGGCCAGCACCAACCCTGGGCCAGACGGGACGCGGCCTAGCACCTAACCCCGGGCTGGACCCTCCTCCCTTCCCGCGCCGGGAAGGCTCGCCGCACAGAAGGAGCGCAGCGCCGGACGCCCGCCCACCCGACTCCCGGGTTCTTCCCGCCTCGTCCCCGAGTCCAGGCCGCGCGGAGGGAGTACCGGAGGAGCAGCCCCGGCTCCGGGGTCCCCGGCAGACCCGCTCCGCCACCGCGAGCCGGTCCCTGCGCAGCGCTCTCTGTGGCGCTGGCCTCGGCTTCCAACCCCGTGCACACGCACCGCCCCGGGCACACGCACGCACACACACACACACCCCTCAGGCACCGCATCCTCGCGTCCGGCCCGCACGCGCACCCCGGAGTACACGCGCAGCCCGCCAGGCCCCGGAGGGAAGGCGCCGCCCACCCACGGTCACCTTGGCCGTCACCAAAGGACCTCGCCGGCGGACGCCCGAGGTCCCCGACGCGAATCCCAGCGCGCCGAGCCCCAGGCAGAGCACCAGCGGGAGCACCCGGGAGCCTGCAGCCATGGTCGGCGGAGGCGCTAGCCGCGGACTGCGCCTGCGCGCTGGGGCGGGGCGGGGCGGGGGCGGGGCGGGGCGGGGCTCAGGTGCTGGGGCTTAACTCTTCTGTTTTGGCTGCGGGGCGGTGGTTAGGGCGTCGCGGAATCTAGGGGTTCGCGGCATCTGCGCCATGAAAGTCTTTAGTTCACGCGTGTATTTGGGGATGACTGTGATCTCCGTTTACTGGCAGCTCTCAGCTACACCAGTCCAAAACCGCGGCCAAGGGAACGTGCCCCTGGGACCAAGGTAGTCAGACCGAATTTTAGTGCACAGTGCAAAGTGAGATTTTTGTGAATTTAAGGATTATGTGTAGGAAAAGTCTTTGGAACTTGGAGAAGTCTCCATTATCGTTTAAACTCAGGGAAAACTCAGATCGCAGTGCCACATAGGAAATCTGATCTCAGCTGTAGATGTAAATGCATGAAGGCATTTTTTAAAAAAGCACCGAAATATTTACAGTAGCTATGGTGAAAGAATTATGGGTTTTTATCATCTTCGTAATTTTGTTTTCTCAGATAGTCTACAATGAGCATGTAAATACTTTATAACTTAGGGAAAAGTCACTGTAAAACTCTTTGCTTTTGACTTAAGAATCAAAAGAACTTTTATATTTCACAAAAATATCTCTAAGATTAAAGTGAAGGATATTTTCTTAGGGCCCCCCCCCTTCAGTACCAGGGATCGAACTCAAGACCTTGCGCTTGCAAGGCAGGCGCTTATCTCTTAGCTTTTTTTATTTTTATCTTTTTTGAGGATTTGGTACCATGACTCAAGTCAAGATATCCTTGGATAAATGATGAATTCCTGTAAGTATACCTAAAATGACTTTAGGAGTGACCACTGCTTTTCAGGGATGTGGCAAATACCTCCGAACTATTTATATGATCCTGTCCAGTGAGGCCTCATGGCCTTCTCCCACCTGGACTCCTAATCAGGAAAGAGGACCCGTGGTGTGGCAAGCTAAGGTTTTTCTCACTCCTCTGGTGATTGTATATATTTATGTGGGCTTGTCACTCTAATTGCTTTTTTAATCTGTCTGCCATAAGCAAACCAGAGCAAGAGTCATGACTGTTTCTTTTTCTTTTCTTTTTTTTTTTTTAACCTAGATCTATTGCAATGTCTTGAGTACAGTTGTAACTCTTGGTAAATATTTGTTGAATGACTTAATGTGCCTAACTGCTATTTATACCAAACCTCTCACTCAAGGCAAAGAAATGAAGTAGTCATCATCTCTATAGAAACTTCTTTTACCTCTTCAATTACTAATACTGTTTTGTCCCAAATTACCTGCAGTCCCAACTTTTTACACTTTTTTTGGTAGCAGAAATTCAACTCAGAACCTTGTGCTTGCCAGGCAGGCACTGTGCCACTGAGCTCATATCCCTGGCGTTTTTACACTTTTAGTGGTTTGATTTTGTTTCAATTTTGCAAGAATGAAATCTCACTGTATTTCTTGCTTAAATTTTTATTTGTAAAATTTTATCTGTGCTTTTGCATGCACTATTTTGGTGCATAGCACAAGATGAGGCAAATTCGTTTTCCCTCCATATGGATATCACTTGTCCCAGCACAGTTTATTAGAAAGTCTGTCCTTCATTCACTGCTCTGACGTGCTGAGTGATCATGCACCCATGCGTAGCGTGTGTCTGTTGGTGGCCGCTTCCTTGTATCTCATTGGCCTATTTGTCTACTTTTGTATGAATACCACAGTCTTAATTAGACAAGCTTTCTAGTAAATCTTCATGTTCACTACTACATGTTCCCTTAACTTCGGTCAATAAATTCTCGGCTGTCCTTGACCTTTTCTATGCCTGTGTAAACTTGGGAATCAGCTTGTCAGTTTCCACATAACGGGGATTTTTATTGGGATTGCATTACCTCAATGAATCATTTTGAAAGGAGTTGGCAGATTTATAGTATTGAATCTTCCATTTCCTTACATAAAATATTTAGAGCTTCTTTAATTTCTGTCAATAAAATCTCATAGCCCAGAGGTATTATGCATATTTTATTAGTTTGATTTCCAAGTTTTTTTAATGCTATTGCCAATTATACTTTTTAAAACATTTATTTTCCTGTTTATGTTGAACTAAAACAAATTTCATACATTACTTATATACCAAACTTGTTAAACTTACCTATTCTAATAATTTTCTGGGAATTATGTAAATTTTTCTCCATAGAAAATGATACCATCCATGAACAAATGACAGTTGTATTTCTTCCTAATCTTTATACCTTTTTTTTCTTACCTTATTGCACTGGCTAGTATTTAAAATACAAAAGGAAGTGGCAACAGTTAGAGTCCTTGTGTTGTGGGTTGAATTGCTCCCCTAAAAAGATGCATCAGCATCTCACACCCCAGGCTTTGTGAGTGTGAGTCAATTGAGAAATTGGCTTCGTAGATGTAATCATATCAGATGAAGTCATAGTGCAGTAGGACACACCTCCTGCTAGTGACCTGTGTCCTTTTAAAAAGAGGGGCAACAGGCACACAAGGAGTGGCACAGGAAGATAGAGGTGAAGTCCAGAGTGACAGAGAGCTGGCACCCACTAGCAGAGTGGAAAGGAAGGCAGGGACCTGTCATGGGACTCATGGCAACCTGCGATGGGTTCCTCTTCTGCTGTTCTAAGTGACCCAATGTACAGTCCATTGCTAAGGCAGCCCTGGCTCATATGCCTCGTCTTCCTTATAGGTCCTGCAAGGTTCATCAGTGCAACTGTTGAAATAATCATATGATTTTTCTTTATTCACTTACTGTGATAAATTGCATTGACTTTCAAATCTTACCCCAGCCTTGCATTCTAGAATATATCCAGCACACACAGCCCTTTTTACTTGTTTCTAGATGAGGCTTGCGAGAAGTTTTTGTTGTTTAAGAAACACCAAAAAATGGGGAGGCATTTTTTACCGGGTTCAGGAACAAACAATAGAGTACAGCTTTCTAGTTTGGGCCAATCCAATCCCCACATTCCATTTTGATGTTAGTGGTAAATTTCCTGGTTTTATTTTTAGAACATTTTCATCTGAATTGATGAATGAGACTAAACTGAAATTTTCCCTTCTAGGAATTTTCTGTCACCTTTTGTATCAGACAGGAGCTGACAAACGGTGGCCTTATTCTTGTGGTGTGGAAGGGTCTGTGTAAGACTGTTGTACCTGTGACCTCCAGCTTGTCAGTCAGGGGCTTATGCCCTTGGGCTAAGTCCCTGCCCCTTCATTTACATTTTAAAGAGTATTTGTATAAAGTTGTGTAAAACATCTTTTAGGAGCTTATAGCTCAGTAGGACATCATAAGAGTAATGTTTTTTTCATTCCTCATATTGACTGTTTGTGTCTTGTTTTCGTCAAACAGCTCCACCCTGGAACTTCCTGAGCACAACATACTTAACATGTATATTTCCAACTTTATTAAGTTCTTCCTTCTTGGAGTTTAGGGTTGGGCTTTTGTCTTCTTGAAGTAGTCATCTATTTAGTTTTAGATTTTCTTTTTCATGCAACTTTATATGCAATTAGAACATGTTTCCCTTAATGCAGCTCTAGCTGCTTTCTACAAGTATTTACATTATTACAGTTAAAAATACCTTCCAATTTACAGTTTTTGAGCCATGTGCTACATAAATATATAATACCTTAGTTCTAAAACATGACTTAAAATATCATTTTGATAATGATTTCTAGTTTAGTCATCTTATGGCCACGGAACATGCTCTGTGTTATTTTGTCGTTTTGTTCTTGCTTTGTCACTTAGTATCTTTTTATTTTGTCCTTGTTTGGTTCTGTACTCTATGTCCATTCCCAACAGAGCTGGGTTATCAGCTCTGCCTTCATATCTTACCCCCACTGAATTTTTTTATCTAGTCGTTATAACAGCTACTAAGAGATATGTATTTAAATATCTCTCATTATCAATGTAGATCATCTACTTATTCTTACGTGTCTATACATTTTTCTTTATGTATTGTGAGACCACTTGAGTGCAGGTGAATCTAGAATTATCTTTAATGAATTAAATATTTGTTATTACTAGAAGTAATACATTTTTCAGCTTCAAGTTTGATATTAATATAATGCACTGTCTTTCTTTTGGTTACTGAATAGATGATTTAACTTTTTTATAGTTCCATTTTTACTCTTCCATTTTCTGTTTTAATATGTCTATAAAATGTATAAATTGTTTTTATATTGTGGATTTTTTAACTCTAAATTTTATATCTTATATCTTAAAAGCTTTTGTGGTTTGGTTTGGTTTTGTAGTGCCAAGGATTAAACCCAGGGCTTCACACATGCTAGGCAAGCACTTCACCAACTAAGCTACAATCCTAGTCCATAAATTGATTTTTAAAATGAAGCTTGATAATCTTTATCCTAAACAGAATATATAGCCTATTTATCATATTCAATTTATCATATTCAATATTTATCATATTCAATTATATGTTTGCATTTACACCCAATATTTTAACATTTTTCTTCCATTTGTACCCAGTTTTATGGTCCCCTTTTAGTCTTTTCTTGCTTTATACTGATTTCATAGAACAGATTTTGATACTCGATGCCAGATTTATAGTTATACATTGTTTTATAATTCTTTCATTAATTATTCCAGAGAGTATAACCTGTATTCTTGGTTCTTCAAAGCCTAACTTTATCTGTGGCTTCTAGTTTTTTTCTGGGTAATGTAAGAACCTCAGAACATTTCACTGCCATTTTCCCGTATTGAAATTTTATGTTATTATTGTCATGTATTTTATTTTACCACCATAACACATTACCATTATCACTTCATAAATCATGCACACTTAGATTTATCCACATGTTTACACGACCACTGCTCCTCACCCCTTCCTGTATTTCTGACTTGACACACGTGGTCATTTTCCATCTGCCTAAACACTTCCCTCTGGTATTTCCTTAATTGCTAGGCAACTGGTGAGAAAAGACTTTGGTCAGAAAAATTCCCTTAGCCAACCGGCATTCCTGTAGGATACTTTTGCCTGCTATAA